GGCTGGCCCCAAGTCCTCTGTAACAGTCTGCTTGGAAGGAAAGGTCTCAGAGCCAGATTTGTGTGTGGAATTAGTTGGAATCCCATCAAAAGCCTGTGACACTTCATCTCTTCAGCAAAACATTTGAGCTGCTGCACATTTACTGTGATGTTCTGGTTCTAACATGCATTTCCCATGGATGGGAACCAGCTTCAGCCTTTCTGCACTTGGAAAAGCCCATGAAGGGGCTGGAGGAGCTCTGGGAGCACAGGGGAAGCCTGGTGGGTGTTCAGTCAGTGATAAACCTGCTCTGCAAGCAGAACCTCTGCCAGCACAGAAAAGGGCAAAGATTTTGGAAAGGACTTCACACTCAGCTACTGAGCACTCAGCTCCTGGAAAACCCAATTATCTGGGACAGGGGCTCAGAGAGGCAGAACAATCCCTGCCCTTGAAGAGACACAAAAGCTGACTGGACCTCACTTTGAAGCTGGCTCCGAAGACTCCCTGAGGCTCCTTTCACCCCCCATTATCCTCTGACTGTAGAACTGCACATCCCTGACACAGCAGGGGAGTCTCAGTTGCACAGGGAACAGAAGGGCTGTTCTGGCCAGGCCTGGAGCACTCCAGGGAGCTCAGCTCCTCCTCAGCTCCCTGGCATGGGGTACCCACACCACAGATTTGTCTGGCTCAGCCCCTGAGCTGGCTGTCTTTAGATACAGGAGAACAGCTCCTGTCTTGTCAGCATCCCACAGTCCTGCAGATAAGCCAGAGGGTGCCCCTGGAAAAGCAATCTGCAGGAAAAGTGAAGGGCTGGAGTGAAAGGCTGATTGGTTTGCATTTGGATTTTAGTAAAAATGCAGTTACATCAATGTTTGGCTCTAAAAAACCCCTTTCAGGTCTGAAAGCACCTCCTTTGAGCCTTGCTAAAGTGGAGTTCTTGGCAGTGGGGTGGTGTCTGCAGGAGAAACACCAGTTCCCACTGACAGACACAGAGAAGATGGGAACTATCCCTCCCTTCCACCCTGAGACAGCTCAGGATTGGCATCCTGCAAGGAGGGATTTTACACCCTCATCTGGAGATCATCATGGAAAACAAGGGGTTTAGAAAGCCACTTTATAACCAAAAACATCAGAATAAATAAATGTGCAGCAGCTCAGATGTTCTGTGGAAGAGATGAAGTGTCACTCAACTAATTCCAACTAATTCCACACACAAATCTGGCTCTAAGACCTTTCCTTCCAAGCAGACAGTTATTGAGACCTTCCACCCAATGGATAAATGCACTGACTGACTGCTCTCCTTTTGGCCAGGACCTTCTCTGGTCTGTTCTCCTCTGCTGCAAAGCCTGGCTCTCCCTAACAGTGGAGAGAGAGGACCGAGCTGGGGGTTAGGGAGTGAAGAATGGTGGAGTTTGCTGCTTGCAAATGTTTTTTGCAGGGACCTGGTCTGAACTGAGATCACTGGATTTTCTTGGACATTTCTAGCCCTGCACCCCCAGACAGTGCAGCATCACAGGGGAAGACAGTTCTGCCAGCAGGGAACTCAACCCTGAAGTCCTTGTTCGGGGTTCTGTATTCCAGGACTGGCAGGAAAACAGGGAGGAGCAGAGACAGCATCACAAAGTGAAACATCAGAGAGTTCCTTTGGAATAATCCCTTCCATGGAAGGGGTTCCATGGAGCAGCTGCAGACTCTTCCAGGTTACACCTTCCAAATACCTGGGATCAGTGAGAAAGGGGCTGAGCTGTTGTTTCCATAGCCTGACTCTGGAAACTACACCCAGTAAGACTTTACAGAGACGGGTTCAGCACTGGACCTGCCCTTGTTCCCCACACAGGCAATAGCAGGGGGTGCTGGCAGCCCAGAGAATCCCCCAGGGCACGTTCAGCCATGGCTGGTGTCCTTTAAAACACTCGGCGCATCCTCCAAAACGCTGCCTGCATTCCTGTGTTGCTGAAAGCTGCCTGCTGGAAGTGCTAATGTGCTGTTAGACTCTGTGTGATTATTATAGATGATAAACATAATTATTTTGGGTCCTGATTGCCTCTGCTGTCTCTGTTCTGTTGCTGATGTGTAAAGCAATCTCGCTGTTATCAGTTTTATGGGCAGAGTGTGAAGACACAGATTTACTCCTGAAGGAAGAGCCAAACCTTGGGGAAACGACCCCCCTGAGGCAGAGCTGTGCTGTGACAGACTCCAGCCTCTTAAGATGCACCTGAACACCCTGCCCAGCCAAGGTCAGAGAGCCACGGGGATGGGTTTCCTTCTCCAGCTGTAAAACCCACAGCCAGGAGAGCAGCGATGACAGGGTGGTTGGACTGACCTCTGCCCAAGGCAGAGCTGCCAGGCAGAGCTCAGAGAGCTCAGCATTTTAGGCAGCTGAATAAAATCAAGTCTCCTAAAGCAGCACAATGGCCCATTCGACCTGTGGGCACTGTCTGTGGAGCTGGGATTAGGGGAATCCTTTCCCACCCCAGCCAGGAGTTAATTGCCTTCAGATAAGGAGCAGCAGATGCCTCAGAGCACAGACCTCTGACTGTTGTTTAAAACGCTGACTAATCCATCATCCAAAGGAGTGCAGTTGCTTCCCAGCCATGGGAACAAAGAGATGGGATAAATAACCAATGGAAGGCCCACTCCTTGTGTTCTGTCATCTTCTCTCTACTGTCATATTGTCCTGTTTGTAGCCTTGGACTGTGAACTTCCTTTCATACAATCCCTGCCACATCCTGAGAGCAATGGAACTGGCAAAGTCTGGACAGCCTGCACGGCACTGGAAACTTTCCTGCCAGGGCAGGAGGAGGGGGGTTACAGGGAGAAGGCTGAGGGGCAGAAGGAATAGTAGGATTGGCAGTTGAGGCTCACCAGGCAGCCCTGCTTCCCTCCACACTAACCCCACCATGACCTGGCTCCACAGAGACAGCCACTGCCTGGGCCGGAGCAATCTGGAAAACAACCCCTTCTTTAAGTTCTATTATTAAATAAATAAATCAATCCAGCTATCACGAGGCCCTGAAGTCAAGGCGGCCGAGGGGAGGCTTGGAGAAGCCAGAAAGGCTCCAGTGAGAGCAGGTAACCAGAGCTGTGTTTACCACAGAGCAGAGACAAGGCTGCTCACACGGGCGGCTGCGGCCCCACAAACATCCCCTCTGGCCTGGGGTGGCTGTGCTGAGCAGTTACACGTACGGGCAGGGCGACGCCGAGCCCTGGCTGCTGAACAATCAACTTTTATTCTCTCCAGACCAGCAAAGCCAAGATTTCAGTAAACATGTAACCCCAAAAATGCGCCTGCGGATCGGGTAGAGCAGGGCCTGCGCTCTCCCTGCCAGACTACAAAGCCCTGCTCCGGCGGGTGGTTTCACGGTGAGGTTTCTGTGGGGAGGAAGCATTTCCAGTGGTCAAGGTAGGGAACGGGGGTTCAGGAGACCTGGATCCCATCCCTGGCTCTGGGAATCAGGAAAGCTCTGACTGCAGGCAATGCACACACTTGCAGGAGTCACTATCCCTCTACCCATCCCTCCTTGCTCAGGCACAAACTCTTGCTGTGGGAGGAGTGCGGAGGCACAGGCTGGTAACACTCCCTGACCTTGCAGGGGGATTGCAGTGCTGTGTGATTGATGCCTGAAAGGCTGTCAGAGCATTCTGGATGAAAATCTCTCTGGAAGGTATTGGCAGACGTGCACATACGGGTGCAGACACGAGAGAGACAGACATGCAGCTCACACACCCTCTCCTCCCTCCGTGCCTGCAAACCCCCACCCAGCCTCGCTACTCGTGTGCTTAAATATTTACAAGTTGGGTCTGCAGAAAACCTGGGGTTTAAAGCAGAGCAGCCAAAACTCAGCTGAACAGCTGCCCTCACAAACCCAACCCGCTGCTCTGACTGCCCAGACTCAGCCCCAGCTCTGCATTTTACTCACCAAACCAGGCCAGTGTGAGGCCAGACTGAGCCTGTGGCAGACACAGTCCAGCCCTGCTCACTCCTGGGCTGGAACCAGTGAGCTCCCCTGGCCCTTGGCATTGTTCCCTCTTCATTTCATCCTCCATGCCACTAACATGCTGCTTACCCCCTCTTTCAGCTCATTAATGAAGACACTGAAGAAGGCTGGACCTAACCCTGATCCCTGTGGGCATGCCTTGGAATAAACACCTCCTAGAGCAGCTCCCATCACCTCTTCCATAGGAAGAACCTTGTCTGGAGGTGTGCAGAGCTGTTAGAGCAGTTCCTTTGCAGTGAGCCCCATGGGGAGAACCCAGCAACTGCACCAACAGTTTCTGTAGCAAAATAGAAAAGGAAGCAGGAAGGAACATCACACTCTCACAGGATGGCTCTGGTTTGAGCAGCCTTGCTGGGTTTGGCTGTTTACAGTGTTTTATCCAACTCCTGGGTTCACTTCCTGTCCTAAATGGATCTATTAACTTTTCTAAATGTTCTTTTACCTTGTTGGCTGCGTTTCAGAAATAGGTGGCAGGAGTCAATCACAGAGGACCAGTTTAAAACGTTGTAAGATACTTCCCTCAAGTGGAGGGAATAAAAATCACTCAACTGTGTGTCACAGGCTCTGCGTGTACCTCAGTTAGGAGGAAGATAATGAGGGATGGACACCTCTGTGAGGTAGAACCTACCCACCTGTTTGAAAGGTGTTAGGAGCAGAGAAACACTTCCCAGGATAGTGCAGAATAAAGTTTCCCACTCTCCAGACCTCGGGGCACCCTTTGTGGCAGATCCCAAAGGGGCCTGTGGTCTGACAGCCTGGCAAGTACCACACAGACAGCTCCTGTATATCCACGCCCAGGTGTTGGGAACAGCTTGAGTGCAAGCTGAGATGAGTGACAAGAGCTCCTACGTGGCATTTCAGCAGAGAGGGAAGAGAAGATGCTGAGAAGCAGCTGGAGGGGTGAAATACCTGAGTCCTGCATAACAAAGCTTCTCTGCCTCCCAGAGCAGGGACAGACAGGAAGGGAGAGCCAGGCCCAGCTGAGTGTGCTGGCAGAGCTGGGGGGGTGGGATCTGCACTCACCCCGAGGCTCATGTCTCATCTCCTGATCACTGTTTTCCTCAAAGCAGGCAATGAAACATGAACAAAGAACTCCGATTTCACTGTAGTTTTTCAGTTGTGAAGATGGCAGCCCAGCTCCAGCCTCTTTCCTGTGCTCCAAGCAGGAGAACGTTTCATCTCCTGCAAATGGGAAGAGATAAGAGGGGCTTAGCACGAGGCAGGATTTGTCTCTGTAACTGATCAGTCCAACAAAGGGACACACAACTCGTTTATTACTGGAAATTAATTGTGCCATCAAGGCAGACGCCTGCAATTACTTCTGTTAAATATTATCTTTCATTAACTGTAAAATATATAATTAATAAACTTGCCCCTTCATTTTTGTTGAGTTTCACTGCAAGGACCTTATTACTGAAATGAATCTCTCCAGCAGCACATGTCGACAGAACAGAGGAAGGTGCACGCCTCTCCGGGAAATGGAATTATGAGGGAGGAATAATCACCTCTCTTCGTGGCCAGGACTGTAGAGACACCCCACTCTGACACCAGTTGTTTAAGCTCGTGCTGCTTGGAAGCAGGCATGAAGAATCTGCTTTGGCTGGCAAGGATGGCTCAGTCTGAATGCAGCCGGGCTCATCTTTCACTGGGAAGTCTGGAGAAACAAAAAATAAATTGCATTTTTTGATTTACAGTCCATTAAAGGAGTTTTCTGACTATAAAGCTGCTCAGAACGACCTCGGTGGTTGGGCTGGTTCTTTTATAGGCCCCGTGTTCCCCCACCTCCCAGTGCTGGGCTGGAGCCGCGTGACTGATTTGCTTTCCATGAACATCCCGACTGTTTGGATTTGGGGAGGTTTGGCCATGGCTGTTAAACCATCCCAATTAGAAATGCTTCAAAAACATTGCTGAAATTTGACTCCAAGCATAAAATTCCCCTTAGACTTTGTCTCCACTTGTGATCTTTACCTCAAGTCAGTTGATTGCCAGATCAACCAGGGTAATTAAAATATTTCCAAAGGCTGTTCCGGGCAACACTTTTTGCCTCGCTGCAGGCGACAAATGTTCATGGTTTGCCCGAGGCCGATGCTCAGTCCTGCCTGAGCTGGCAAGGGCAGCATGGATGCCAAGCATGGAGGAAAGGCTGCTCCATCACCATCCTCGCCACAGGGGAAGGGGGCACAGGGATACAGGGATCAGTGGTGGAAGGGAGGAGTTACAGCACAGAGATACAACAGGACATAAAGAAGCTCACAGGAGGAGAAGAGGCTGGATGAATTTTAAGGGAACCCCATGGATGGCCCCTGGCAGAGCCAACAGGTTGCAGAGACATTCACCCCCAGCCTGGCAGCTTCAGAGCAGAGGAGCTCACAGAAACACGTAATCACAGCATCAGAGGTTGGAAAAGACCTCCAAGATCACCAAGTCCAACCATCTGCCCAGTACCACCACCATGGTCATCACTAAACCATGTTCTCAAGTGCCATTTCCACGCATTTTCTGAACAATTCCATGGATGGTGACTCCACCACTTCCCTGGGCAGCCCCCTTCCAATGCCTGACCACCCTTTCAGTGAAGAAATTTCTTCTATTATCTAATGTAAACCTTTCCCTGCCGAAACTTTCCCTCCAAGGCCCTGGTTTGGTCCCATTTTGGGCTATTTCACAGCATCACTGAGGTTGGAAAAGACCTCCAAGGTCACCAACTCCACCCTGTGCCCCATCCCCACCTTGTCCCCCAGTCCAGAGCACACAGTGCCACGTCCAGTCATTCCTTGGACACCTCCAGGGGTGGGGACTCCACCACCTCCCTGGGCAGCCCCTTCCAGTGCCTGACAGCCCTTCCCATGAAGAAATTCCTCCTGATGTCCAACCTGAACCTCCCCTGGCACAGCCTGAGGCCACGTTGTCTCGTCCTAAGTAGGGAAGGAGAAGGGTTCTCACTTTAGCCAGTGTGCAGAGCTTTTGGCAATGAGATGAGCTTGGGGAGGGAGAGGGTGCCAGTTCCTGGCCATCCACTACCACTTTGTCACCCCATTTTGCAGTTGAAAAGGGCTCTGTGGGTCATGTGTGTCAGAAGTGAACAACCCCTGACTCGGAGCAGGTCCTTTCTCAAAAAACTGAACTACAGAACCTCACCCTGCTGCAGCCCTGAGTCCAAAGAAAGGGCTCCCTTCTCCACATCATTTAACTACCACTTAAAAATGGTGTTGGACAAATGTTAAAACAGCCAACCAATTTGATTACACAAAAATTTTAGAGTCAGCAAATTATCTAGTGAAATGATGCATGTAGAAATGTTAATTCAACAGCAACTGAAACCTTCCACAGTTCTTACCATCTAAAGATGATGAGTCTCAGCAAAGAAAAGAGGGGCCTGAGCATACTGTCCTTGCTGAAGAAATTATAGGAATATTCTAGCTCTCACCTACACTACATGTCACTACATGCAGTGACATAAATAGCAGGGGCTGAGGGTGAGTTTAGAAGTGGATTTGGGATGGAAGCTCTGAAATCATATTATACAGCTCTTTGCCCTGGGTTTGCTCTGGGAGAGAGGCTCATATATCAGCCCATTCCCACCATGTGCCTCTGTGCAGAATCTTTCTGTGCAAAAGTCTAATTTTACTGTACAAAAGCCTCAGGACACTTCCCTGCGTGCCAGGCACGCTCCTGCCCTCAGCACCGAGGAACCCCCTGGTGCACACGCGCCAACTTCCAGGCGCTGTGTCATCCCTCAGGATCCCCGCTGGCTCAGACCAGGAATGCTGAAGAGGGAAAATGCAAGAGTTAAACAACTTAACTCTCTGGCTGTCCGGGCCACAGGAGGGGGAGGGAGCAGGGAGGCAAAGCATCTGGCTTCCCTGCTTCCCTAACAGCCTGGCGGGAAGGCTGCTGTCAATTCTGCCTTCTGCCTTGTTGGAAGAAAGTAGAAGTGACAAGAGGCCCTCCAGGCAGGCAGCCAGGAACCAGAAATTCAATTGAGCCACCTTCTAAAACTGGACTTCTTTTGGAGACCCTTTCCCTGAAATTGTTTTGACTTAAAAAAAAAAAGACTGTCATCGCGGTTCAGGGCCAATTCATCACCCCTGGTCTCCTGGCTCCGCTCCCTCCGCGAGAGCAGGATTTGCACAAAAGGATTTCAATTTTCTGGACCGCTCTGCAACCAGCCTCCCCCACAATAAATACACAGACACATAAATATGCACACACACACACACACACACATACAAACAGTGTTATTTATAGGTGCAAGCATTGCCACAGACAGAAGCACACACGGGTGTGTTCCTTTGCTGGATAATGTGAGGGCTGGAAGTGCTAAAGCAGCTGAATTTGCTCCACATTCGCAGCTCAGGAAGCAGAGTGTGGGCCATACGGTCTGTCCCCAGGGCTTAGACCAACTGGTTATTGGCTGGTGCTGTTGTTCCTCTAACAAGCCCCTGGAAATATCGCTGGGGCTGCAGAGAAATGCAGCTGGAAGAGCCTTTCCCTGTCAGCAGCAATCTGTCACTCCGGGATCGCACCCGCCTCGTGCAGCACAACAGCTCCTGAGCTGCGTGTCAGAGTTAGCACAAAGGTCAGTCTGCAGGTAGGCTGGGGGGGGTTCTTTATTCCTGAGAATGTGCAGCCAGCTTGAGGCACCGTCTGGATGCTGCAGCAGGAATTCCAGCCTCACATATGCCCGGCTATAATTTCAAACGAGGGAGCATTTCCATTACAAACCCCATTTTTTTTCCCCATGGATTTATACCTCAGCTATTGGGCTCTACTTAGGGGCGGACCTTCTTGACAGGCAGGGAGAAACTATTTTTCCTGTCCAACGTTTAAACCCAGCTCAGCCTCTTTGGGCTGTGAGATGGAGAGGGAAATTACGTATGCACACAAACACTCCCAGGCACACACAAAAAGCTCACACAAACACATGCCCACAGAGAGATCTCCTACAAAAAAACCCAGACAAGCCAATGCAAATAAGCTCGATTTTAAGAGTTGAATTAATTTGACTCTATTATTCTAAATTATTAACAAGTTCCAGCAACCTTAGAACACAATAACCACACTTTCATCTGGGTTAAGTGGAAACAGAGAACGTGCACCAATATAGATGATATCAGTACAAATCTGTGACAGCGAAGTTGGAGGCAGAAACCTGAGCCCCTCTCCCTGCAGCAGTGTGCTAACAACCCCTGGATGGTTCCCCTCCCCTGGAATATTCCAGTGCAATGAATCACCCTCCAGCAGCGCCAGAACCCCCCTATTTTCCTGGCTGCCAGGTGAAACCTGACCTGCCCAGCACTCCACTCTGTTTATGACTTGCTCTGCCTTACTAAGCCCATTTTGGTGGGGTTTTTTTAACTCGCTATCGATTCTACTTTGATGTAGTCCAATAAAGCACATTGACAGAAGCAATTTATGTTGGCCAGTGTCTCCAGTTCCAGGAAAGCCTCCCTGGCATATGAAGACAGGTTAATCACCTGGCAAGTACCAGCAATACCCGGTTATCCCAGTTTACCAGCTCCATTCAATCCATGTCCGTGACTGAGATGAGGAACAACATCCTGTTTCTCCCATTCCCAAGCAGAAATGGGTATGATTCTCTCTATGATCACTTCCCAACACCCCATAGAAACACTGGGAAATGTGACAAGGATTTTCCCAGTCTTCAGTGGAAAATTCTGCAAGTGGTCACTGAAAGGAATTGAGCATTTCCTCCCTCCTGACAGCACAGAAACCAATCCTATGGCATCCAGGCTGGCACTGGTACCAGCAGGGCTCAAGCACCTGGAAATTATAAGATGCTCCTATTCCCATCTGCTGCACAAGTGTGTAAATGCAAATTTTGTGTCACAAAAATCTTGATTAGGCAGCTAGGAATACTATGGATTCATCCCATCAGCTGGAACTCCCCATGACACGCTCTGTTCCCTCTTCCTTTCTTGGTTTCACACCCAGACCTTCCCCCTGAGGCTGGGGAAGCACTAAGAGTATCATTCAGGGAAGGTGTTTAGTAGCTGCTTAGATGGCTCCTTGGTGCAACCTAATAGTTTCCTTGCCTCTCGCTAAGAGAGGGCAGAGGAGAAGAGCTGGGAGCTGCAGGGATTGGAACACTGAGCCAAATTTAGCCACAGGGCAGTTTAAAGTTCCTGTTGCATTTTTCATCTAAGTACAGAAAATCCCCCCCTCTAAGCACCAGCCCAGGTGGCCACAGCTCTTGGAATGCTAACTGGGTGAGCAGCAGGTATTGGAGAGGGCGTGCAGCCAGGGATAGCAGGGAGCAGCTGGAGAGGGACAGTGTCCTTCCAGGCAGGCAGTGCCACCTGTCAGCAGCACCCGGAGCCGGGCCCCACAGCGGGGCGGCTCCAGAGGCATCCGGCCATGCTGGATTCTCATCCATCCGAAGCTTCCTGCACTCACCAAGCACTGATAGAGTTTCACTCCTCACCAGCTGGAGCCCTGGGAACAGGAACTCTCTCCAGAGGAGCCCAGGAGCTCCTCCACAGGGAGGAGGATGAGGGGTGGATCAGAGAGGCTGCACTGTGAGTGACACATCAGAGAGGGCCATCGGGCTCCTCCTGTGCCAAGGAGAGCCATAGGTGGTGAAAATGCAGCTCAGCACCTACCAAAGGAAAAGGATATAAAGAAAACGTGGCC